TTAGTCCTACTTCTGACATTTTCCTTGAGATTGAAGTAGCTTGAAGCTCCTGCTTTCATCCTGTGAAATAGACCTAGACCAAAATAGCAGAGGTGAGTAGTTCTTCAGGCTCTCAGGTCTGACTCAGACCCAGGCCCACAACAGGCCCCTCAGGATGCAAAAGACGACAGCCTCGTCCTTGCTGCCGATATTGATGGGAGCGAGGAGAAGCTCCCCTGGCCCATTGCTTATCTTATTCATAGAGCTTACCATGTGTGATTTTTTTTCTCTTGAAGAGATGGATCATGCTAGTGATAATGTTTAATAGCTCAACTCGATGTTTCAGTTGAGACTGTGGTCCATCAGCTGGACCTCAGCCTGTGTCATGCCAATGCATTGGCTAAGGCTTACTTTTCATAATGTAGGCTGTCATGATTGCGGATTGACTGTCATAAGAATGCAGTGGGCCCTTATGTTCGGCATGCATTAGGCCTAAATAGAATCTAAGGAAATTGGAACTCTCTGCCAACTCTGCCTGTTGGCATTTGGATCAGATTTAAAAGGTGAAGGCAGTAATGATTGGAAAACAAAGACTATGTCATTATACAAGTGACATTTTGACATAGGCCTATGCAATTCCCAATTCAAACTCAAGTGATTGATTTTGTGTTCAGGTCCTGCTGACTTGATTTTCAGAGATGTGCAATATGCAACCCCTAAACGTTGAGTTCGTTCCAGGTGGAACACATGGATTATGTGCAGCTTATCTTAATGGACTGCCTCTCAATTTATGCAGCTCTCCCTGGTTTGAGGTTTTTTTCTATTCTTGCAGTAAGCCTAGGCCTAGTAGGCCTGGTGTTTCAGACCAATTCATTCCAGAATCCTTCCATTTCTTAAGTATTGCAGAACTTGGGACAGGCTCAGCCTGTGATTAAATGACCAGACAGCCTGATCTAGAGGGAAATATTATGGCATTCTGGTTCCTCTTAAACTGTGGCAATCTTTGCTTGAGTATCTGGGGATAGGCTGGTCATGGGAGAGAATACTTCATGAACAGATGTTTTGCAACTCTATGGATTTGATGTAGGCCTAGTTTGGATGAATTACCACTCAGAGGAAACCTAGGGCAGAGTTGGCTTTGGTGTTGACTTTTCCTATCTGTGTGCATTAGCTTATCGCAGTATGGAAAGGTCCTGCCACGGCTTAACATATGATAGAGAGCCAAAGGGGGCCTTTGACTGACACTCCTGTGGCAATTGGTTTGTGAGTTATCGAGCATGGATCGCTTCTTTCAAAAGTTTTGTTGCTCTAGTGATGCAGGGGTTTTGCTAAATTTGACCGAATTGTACTTGTGTCTGTTATCCAAATATCTCTCTCTTAACTATTGTGATTCGCATGAGTAGAAAATGTGAGGCCTGAGATCACTGTTCTATGACATTGAACATATAATGCTATAATAGTTATTAGTGTTTATCAAAATGTGAACTAGCTCTATGTGGGAACCAGATAGACCTTTGTGCAAAAAAGGTGCAACTTTATATCTTGTTATAGCACTAGGCAACACTGAGAATGTATTTTTATTCTCTGATACAGGTGGAAGGCCAGTGTTTGTGTAACAGGGCCTTATTCCTCCAAATTGGCACAGAATGGTTGATAGAGACACATTGATCCACCTCTTTGCTGGAGGGTGAGTTTGCAGAAGTTTTTCACCCGTTCGTCGTCCGTGAAGGGTCGTGCACGGTGGCCGATGCGAGAACTCATCCGAATTTCCTCTTCCAGGGTGGGAGGCACGATGGGGGCAATCATCACCTGCCCTTTGGAGGTGGTGAAGACTCGCCTCCAGTCCAGTGTTGCCACATTCCAAGTGCACCAGTTGCAGCTCCCCCCTGTCGCCTCCACCGGTGCCACTGGCTCCACCACGTGCCGGACGTTCCAGAGGCGGCAGTTCTCGTGCGCTCCCCGGCTCCTGCGACCCGAGATGTACGCGATAGCCCACGCCAGCGGGTGTCCCCACCCGAAGCCGAATTCCATTGGTCTCTTTCGCTGCCTGAAGTCAGTCTTATTGGATCTCACTCTTGCAGGTTTTGTCCTGTTATCAGTTGTTGTTCTTTTAATTGTTGGACTTTCCTATATTATATGAGGGTTATCTAACCAAAATGTTATATCCTAATGCAAATTTAATATTGTTTGCTGCTTTTAGTATCATATAGTGTGAAGCAGTTCTCTATTGTAAGACCTGAAACTGCTGGTGACAAGAACCAAGGAGTATCACTGTACTAACCTGGTAGTCAGACAGGGACACTTTTTTTGCTGACATCGCATACTTTTCAGAACAAAAAATGCTGGTAAAGGTTAATTTGCATGAGGCTGATTCTTATCCAGAGCCCGAGAGCTTTTTTGTCAGCTGTGGCTTTCTTAGTGCTGAGGCCTTTTCAAGATTCCTTATCGGCGCGTACCGACACATCGGCAACCACTTGAATCTGCCGATGTGGTATCGCCCGCTTCATCGGTCATCGGCAGGTGTTCGCGGTCGATTCGACGCAAAAACCAAGTGGAAATGGCACGCGGTACGATAGGATCTTGAGACATGGGTCGGGAGATGGTATCGAACGGGTACGGTGTGTTCCGAGAAAGTCCGGGTTTCCTCCAGGCGACCGAAGCGCATTATGTAAGGCAGACATCTGCGTCGATGCTGGCAGGGGTTCGCCCGGGAATGCGTGGGCCTTTTGGCGGGTCGGTGCGGTGTGGCGGCGATGAGAAGGTTTTTTTTTTTGTTGCACATTTGGCTGATGGTCGGAGGGGTTTCCGGCTGCGACACCATTAATCTTGTTGGCTGGCGTGGATAAAGTTGGTAACTGTGAAGAAAGAGGGGTAAGAGGGTTTTGGTTCCCCCAATTTGTTGCGATCGGCATCGGCGAGATCATAACGGGCCATCGGTGCAAGCCTGTCTTTTAAGTTATAGCTTCATGGGTTCACTCGGTACTGTAAAGAAGAATATATGCTATTTTATTTTTAGAAGGGATGAGTCAGAAATGAGTGCAGGAGTTGACGTGATGCCCCGTTCGGGCAGTTTCCACGCCGTCGGTAAACCCTACATGGTATGGTTAAAAAATGTATAACTCCCGATCGCGCCACATCGTCCGAATCCGGTGAAATTTCCCGGAACCCGAGGGATGCCTCCAATCGTCCGGAAGGCATCGGAAATGCGCGAGGGAGGAAGGGCGCCCGTCCTTGCCGGAGCGAGGAAGGTCGGGCGTCCTTGCGGCTTGCAGGCTGGGAGATGTCATCTGTGTTTATCTTATCAGCTGGGTTAACTCCTTTTTTTTGATTATTTTATGAGTCATTTCCTTTCTTGTGCTGGCGTGGCCTCAGCAGTCGCACGTTGAGGAGTTTAGTCCGGCCTGAATTTCCTTTTTCGGATGTTTTTTATTTTTTTTCTGCAGAACCTGTTGCAGATGTTTTTTTTTTATGTGGAACCCGTCAACGTATCTACTTTCTACGCTTGCTTTTTCTGTAGAGGAACTCCGCAGTTTTGACCTAACAGACTTGTAAAATGTGCTTGCCTTGCTCGCCGTGGGCTCGGGATGGGAATGTTATTTGCTTAAATTCTTTTTAAATTGCAAGTCTAAGTCGTTTTATTATTTTTATTTATTTATTACGACTTGCTCTAGGGCACTTCTCGTTTCGCCAATTAAAGCGTAGGATCTAGGGCAAGGCGAAGCATCAGGGTCCCTTTTTGTTCTGGGGAGGCTATCGGGTTTTTCTACGGAAGTGAGCCCTGAGAAAGAGCCGATGCATCGTGCTAGTCGCTTTGGTACACAAACTTGGTGTTGTCGGGGCCACGCGTGACGTCAAAACGGAGGATTTTCTCGGACGTCCAAGGACTGGAATGTGGAAATGCTGCGCCTCGAAACAAATCTTCATTGACGTCACGACCTGGGGAGAGAAGGAAAAATTCTGAGATAGATTTCCATCGCTCTGCTTGTTGAATTCCGATGGACCGGACTTTCGCGGCCGGCCTCGGGAAATGGGAACCCGAATGACGACTTTTTTTTTATTGCTTTAATCCGTTTACGAGAAACAGAGATGTCAATCTGATGAGGCAGGGACCGTTTGTCACGTAACCCGTGTTTTGCGTTAGGTTCATCGTGGAGACGGAGGGTCCGCGGGCCTTGTTCAAGGGCCTGGGCCCCAATCTGATCGGGGTCTTCCCGTCCCGTGCCATCTACTTTTGCTCCTACAACCAGGCGAAGAAGTTCTTCAACGGGCACATGAAGAGTCCCAACTCGCCGATCGTGCATATCTGCTCCGCTACCTCTGCCGGTGAGTTGGGTGTTCGGGCTTTGGGGGGGAGACGGAGACGGCGGTGAGTCGCGAGGGGGCGAAAGTGGGTCGCGAGGGGACCGGAGTGGGCCGCGAGAGAACCGGAAGAGGAGCGATACGCCGTCACATTGCGGAAGAAAGGGGTAGTGAGAGGCAGACGAGACGGCCTTGGACCGTCTGGTGCGATGACCCTGATGTCGAGGAAGAGGATTGAGCAATCGAGGCAAATATCCGATTCACTCTGTATGGCACCGTTAGTTGGGGGGGGGGGGGGGGGGGGGGGGCGNGGGGGGGGGGGGGGGGGGGGGGGGGGGGGGGGGGGGGGGGGTCCTGCCTGTTTCTCATGGACAGCGACGGGTTCTGGTGACAGTGTTGCCCGGGGTCGAAGTGGAGGGAGAATGTCCGTATCTACTTTTTCAAGGATGTGCGACTGCTAATTGGCTTCAGCTGGGCATTCCCGTTGAATGGGATAGGCTGCTGGCGCTTCATTCCCTTGGTAAGGGATTCGGAATGCGAGATGATGCAATTTTCCTCGTACTTGGCGAAGCCACGGGAGCTTGGAGGATCTGGCAACACTGTGTCAACTCCTTAGCACGTTTTGTGGGGGGGAAAGGGCGCGTGACTGGAGTCTCCTCTTCGGGTTACGGATGTCCTTTTTTTCCGTTTCCGGTCGTATGCCATTCCCGCTTACGAGACCTTTTGCAATGGGGATACCCACTGGTGGGTCATTCCGTCGTTCAGTTTCTTTTGTCTCCCTGGCGCGGCGGACGGGGGATAGTTTGATCGGAAGGGCTCATCGTTATCTAATCTATATATATTTATCTCGCCGTCTGGCTGTCGGTTTGTTTCAAGGAAGCGGTAGAAGCAGGTCAGGGTTGTGCAAGATCGCAAGGCCAACAGACAACAAAAAAAAAGGATTCTCGGAAGGATTGTGTATGTAGGGACTTGGGCGAGTAGTCACCCCATCCTTTCGCTGATTTTCATAGAAGGAAAGGAATTGATGTTGGCACACCTGTGTGATTGACTCGAATTTTGACTCGCAACGCGTACAAAGTTTTCATCTTGGCTGAGGTTCAAGTTGGCAGAAGGGAATGGGGGGGGGGGGCGGGGAAAGTGCAGAGGCCCTAAATAGATAGATGGAATGGATGAAACGCTGTCTACGGTGTGCCTGTACTTGCCAAGGGAGAGAAGTACGGACGTTGCAACGGAACTGCATGTTTGAGAGGGTTTTGGCGAATTGCCCTGGCTCTCCTCCATGCAACTGGTCTTTTGTGGTACTTATTCTCTCCTGTCGAGGTGTGGCCAAGATGAAATGTTTAAAAAAATGTCCTTGACGATCCTTCTCCGATGTGAACATTGTATTGAAGATGTGATTGCTGCCTTCATTTAGGTTAATTTTGGTAATCGGCGTCTTTGCATCGTTAGATTGTGAGGCACGGTTGTACCCTGGTCCTGACTTTTTTTCTGCTCCACCTGTGTAGGCTTTGTGGCGTGCACAGCCACGAACCCGATATGGTTCGTGAAAACCCGCCTCCAGCTGGACCAGAGGAAGCCTGGATTCAAGTCTTACTCGGCCCTTCAGTGCATCAGGGACATCTACCAGAGACACGTGAGTGATGCGATCGCCGGTTCCCGACCGGCAGTTGCACGACCGGAGTGCAAAATGCTCAAAGGTGATGTTGGATTCGACAGGGGATCCAGGGTTTCTACAAGGGCATGACTGCGTCCTACTACGGAATCGCAGAGACGGTGATCCACTTCGTCATCTATGAAGCCATCAAGGCGAAGCTCCAGCAGCGGAAGCATCGATCCTACGACGACGACACGAAGACCTATTGGGACTTCCTGGAGTTCATGATGGCTGGTGCCACGTCCAAGACGTTCGCTTCGATCATAGCATATCCTCATGGTAATGCACCATGGTTCACCTCTCCCCGTATAGGCCAGGACGGTATCGTGAAGAAATATTTTAATCCCTCGTATTTTTTGTCTTATAACTTTGCTTCTGCACATCTCAGTAGTGGGTTAATGTCACGGGACAATTGCTTATTTATAAATTTTATTTGCTTCTATTATTTACTTAAGAAAAAAATATATTGTATATTGAGAGCTGAAAGGAGCATGCAGAAAAGATTTGCCTGTGGGCTAGGGCAAGCTCTTTGTCCAGATTAGAGAGTAGAGGCTGCTGCATGTTGTATCGGAAGGCTTTGCACTCCAGTGGACTTCAGAGGGGGCCTTTGAGCAACTGGAGAGCAACGTCCACCTATTTTGCAGATGACACCATCGTCCATGCAATCGACCTGCATGCTCCGAGGTAGCAGGAAATTGGCTTCCTCCAGTGGCGCATGGAATCCGTAGCCAAATGGGTGCCGTGAATGACCGAAGTGCTGCTTTTCGACCCAAAGGAAACCAGATTTCTCATACTTTTTTTTTTTTTTTTAAAGAGAGAGCCTCCTCTAGCCATATGGTGTCTTTTCTAAAAGTATCTTTGGGTCACTTTCAGCTATCAAATGACTTAGGCATTGTGTTAATGACATTGCATTGTCATCGATGCCTGATTGTGCTCTAATTCATAATTGGCTTTTCCCTTCTGCTATTTCCTATCTCAACTAAGTTCCTGCCTGTCTTGCAATGGAGAATGCCTCATTGCTTTCCAAAGGAGCTCCCTTGATCCACCTCTTCCTTTTCAATAGAATTAAGGCATGGTTTCCCCTAGATAATTGGAATCAATAACCCAGACAAATTTGGTATGTGTTATCTGCCTTCATTTGTTGTCCTTTGGTTCCTCCTACTGTCCAGTTTTGTGATTATTCTTCTTATAGTGTTTCTCACATGACAGGAATAAGGTCTCCTTCACTCTTCAATTCTTCATTGATTTTGGCTATCTAGAACAGTAATATCTGCTGTGGTCCTTCAAAGGACCAGATCTACCTGGAATACACATGCAGCCATTGTTTATGTGCATGTGTTCTTTGAAACTTGAAGAAATTTTTTTTTTCTCCACATCCTGGCAGTCAACAATGTCATGCAATTAGTGACATTGACATAGAAATGCCCTTGCCAGAACTTGATCAGCTGGGCAGAGATATGCAACTGGCTGGAAAATGTAACGAGCCAAAAGGCATCCTTTGCTTCCCCAATCAATAAATTGGGATTGGTGAGGGTGCTTTTCATCTACCCCCCTCCCTCACTGCATCCTACACCTTTTTGTACTGACATCTGTTTTCAGGAATAAGTTAATAATTATAGAAGAAGGAAACATTGAGGAGATTCTTCATCTTACACTTCTTCTTACATCTAAAGGCACACAAAAGCTCACATGGTCTGTTTCATTTTCCATTTCATTGAACTAATTGAATGCCCAACCTTTACTAGGTGGTGGTTAGGTGGAAATAGGTTATTCCTGCTTCTGTTATCAGCTATCTTAGACAATCAGTGGCAGATCTTATAGATCTTATCATACCTGTATTGACATTAAGTTTGAATGAGTTTTTGCTCATTACCAAGCAAAAACCAAGAATGTTGTTGATTGATGGTTGGAGGGCATGAGATTATTTTTGTAATTTGTTGTGTTGTTGAGCTGTTGACAGTCCAACATTTGAAGCTATTCAATCGCTGAAGGGGAAGATGAGAAGTGGACATAGGGTTTGGATAGTTGTTCACAAAAGGAGAGAAACAGCTTTTGCAGCTTCCAGCCTGCCCTCTTATTCCTCCATTAGCACACGGGTCCGTGCATTCCTTGGAAATAAGATTGAGGATATTAATGTGAGTCATGTTTTCTTGACCACTCATCCTTGCCTGGGGCATTAGCATCTCAGTCAGGATGATCCTAGTTGAATTGCACTAGAAGATGCAGGAACATCTTCTAGTATCCCTGATCCAGGACTCACACTCAGCAGGTGGTATTACAAGCTTCACATCACAGCACTTCACAATGTAGTTCTCTCACCTTCTACTATGTGTGCAAATAGGTGATTTGCTGGTGATCATGGATTGAGAAACTTTTTTTTGGGAGTTTCTTGGGGTACACAGTACACTTTCTGCACCACTGGACCAGAGATCTCTTGATTAGGAGAAATGACTTTTCAATCAGACAGCTCTCGCTGATCTCAGCACTCTGGATCCTGTCAGCTTATGTGTAGTGCACTCAGAGGGTTTCCAGATGTGGAAAGGGTCACTTCATGGAAAGGGTAACTCATGGAAGCTTTTCTACACCTTCAGCTCATTGTGATTGAGTGTGCAAATTTCCTTCCCTCCTTGAGTGAAAATTTTCAAAGATACAGGTACGGCAAAGAAATTACCAACAACTTCCACCCTAAATATCTCCCCTCAATAGTTTTCTCACAACTTTCACTTTGCATATATGAGTATGTTTCCAACATTTACCCCAAATTTCTAACACATTTTTTGTGCTAAAGCAATCTATCAGCAATTATTGAAAAGAACTAAGAATGGACAAGAGCTCCTGCTGGTAGTGGAGTTTGATGACACACTCAAGTGCCATCCCTCCTGGTATTTGAGACCACATCAAGCTCCTCTTCCATTCAAATTCACTCATTGGGCTGGTTGTCTCTTGCATATGGTTTCATGAGCAATAGTTGATGAATTGATGAATGTCAATCCAGGGAGTTTTCCCACTGCTCTTTTGGAATTTGCTTATTTTGATCTCATTTTTTTAAATAAAGAACAGTCCATTTCAAATTCCAGCCTCATCATGGATATTATATCTTGTGTAACTTTTACCTCAATTGGTTCATTTTTGGGCTGCCGCATTGACTTTCAAATTGGTGAACCATGACACATCCTCAGCAACTTTAGTGACAAGCTTGATACACTCAAAGTTGTTGATCTTTTCTGCCATACCGTGCAGACTCAGACTGACAAACAAGAGAAATTCTAAAAGAACGTTGAGAAAATCTGGATTGATGTTCATTGATTCATATACTATTGGTTGGGGATAAACTCATGAAAACCATCTGCAAAAGACAATCAACCTCATTAATGAATTTAAATGGAAGTGGAGTTTGATGTGGTCTTGAGCAGGAGGGACAGCACTCGGGTGTGTCCTCCACTACCAGCAGGAGCTCTTGTCCATTCTCAATGCCTATCTTCTTTCCAATAATTGCTGATAGAATCCCTTTGGCACAACAAATTTGGATGAAATTTGAAGTATCAGTTGGAAACATACTCATGTATGCAAAGTGAAAGTTTCGCAAAAATAGCTCTATTGTGACGGGAGATATTTAGTGTGAAAGTTATTGGTCTTTTTTTTTGCCATATCCTGTATTCTTCAGGTTCACAGGTTATCACCTGCAAATGCACCTTACAGCCTGGGAATGCTCTATTCTTCCATTAAGTCTGACTTGATATTACCAAAGTGCTTGTGGCTTAGCTTTTTTCTGAGGCAAAGAAACTTTCAGATATGCATGGTATAAAAGGGCAAATATAAAATACCCAATTAGGTATGTATTTGAGAATTTGCACACTAACTTATATCAAGTGGAGCTTTCACATGTGATCATTTCCATGAAGTCACACCTAGAGACTTTTTGAGTGCCCTGTGTATTACACTGGCCTCCTGATGTAAAACTCTCATTTTGTCATGATATATTATTGATGATCCAGTCATCACCGAAATTCTTGGCAAAAGATGAAGTTGAACGAGTCAGTTAGAAGAACCCTCAAGCAAATTCTCAGAAACCAGGAGTTTTGTCTCCTCCCTAGACCAGGCTGAGATGTCATCTTGGCAAAGAGAATAATCTCTACTTCGACCTCATTGATCTTGGGCTTCCACTGGCCCAAACTGTGCCAAAACATTCTTTTCTGGGCATGAGAGGAAAGGGAAAGGAGAGGGAGCACATCTCAGAGAGCTGAACATGTAGTGGAAAGGAGTTCAAAGTAATACTACATCCTCAAACTCAATTCCTGTAATCAATGTTTAAGGACTGAATGACCTTGCAATTGAAAGTAGCTGTTTACTGTAAACCTATCAAAGGCCAAGGCTCACATAGTGAGTGAGTATTGGGAAGGATCCATTGTGAATGACTATCAGTGGCATAGCCAGGGTTTCACCAATGGGCTCACTTCTTCTCGCCCTGTGGGGGGAGGGGGGTGGTGGATGCATTTAGACCAGAGTTGGGGAGGGCTGAAGCCCTCCCCAGCCCCCTCCTTGCTACGCCACTGATGACTGTTCAGCATATCAGCATTGAAGTTATAATAGGTATTCAGCAATCCTCATAAATTATCACTCATTAATCACTCTAATTTTGAAACTCTTCTAGCATCCTTTTCTGCTATGAGAGTATTGGCCTTTGTTGGATGAATCCCATGAATGATAGTGGATGAATGCCTGCAGTACTCCCTACTTAAACATTTTCAGGATCATAATGGTTTTTTTGCTATTGGAAGGAAAATTTGATGGCCAGCATTTAGTCCATGGAGCATGTGAACCTAGCATAAGTTTAATGCAGTGTGTTGCTACTTGCTGCATCTTAATGAGGTTAATAACTGGAATAGCCCAGACTTACTCAAGCTCTGGCCATGAATGATTGACATATTTGACAAAATGTACACCTAGAGAAACAGGGATGCATTTATGCTTCCCTACCTAAGTTCAGTTGAATGAAGTCAGAATCATGAAGTTAGTCATGCTTTTTTTTTTGGTATAAGAATTTCCTTCCATACAGCTTTGTGATGGGGAGATACAGTCTACTTTTCAGAAGTGCCAACTTTCCCGAGGTTACATCACTAGTGCTGCTGAAGTGCTGCTGTGCTGACTTGGTTTGGTAGATCAGTCGATTGCTGATGGTGGTGTTGACTATGTTACTACCGAGTGTCATCGATGACACCGATCGGTGTCGTCGATGCTGTCGGGTGATACTGATGATGCTGCTGGATGCTTTTACAGAGGTTGCACGGACCCGTCTGCGTGAGGAAGGGATGAAGTACCGGAGCTTTTGGCAGACCCTGGGCCTCGTCCTGCGTGAAGAGGGCTTCCGTGCCCTCTATCGAGGCCTGTGCACCCAACTGGTGCGACAGATCCCCAACACGGCCATCATGATGAGCAGCTACGAGGCCACCGTCTACTTACTCACTCGCTATCTCAGCCCCAAGGATTCCAGCTTCTATGAGAGCGAGGAGCCGGAGCAGTGGGAATGGCAGGGAAACCCGACGGAGGAGTCTCCGCTTCCCACTGATTCCGCCTCTAAGTCTGGGTTCGGATAGTGAGAGATGGAGTGGCGAGTGTGCCTCCTGTAGTGACACTTCTGCGCCTGCTGTTGTGATGATTTTTACATGCCGTGATCTTATAGAATAGACGGTTTGCTCGTCTGGCACTATTAGAGCCTGCCAATCCGTCCTGGTGCTTCTCGCTCGCTTCCCTTTTTCTTTGATGGTGGATTTTTTCCAGATTTAGTGGAAGATCTAGTTTTTACCTCCCGCAGCCCCCTCCCCTGTGTTAAATATGCTGTAATGTATGATGTATGTGATCTCTCACGGGTGGAAAGGAAACCGAGCGACTGGAGGCTAGCAAAACACGGGGGAGGATTCCTCTCACGGGTATCTTCGGGAGTCTCTCAATATGCCTGACTGTGATGGTGTTATAGTCGTTTGCCAAGTGGGTCTTTGCATGTCTGTGCAGTGTGTCGACACGAACGACCCGTCGGGCAACCGAGCTCGTACCTGGCCGAGATCCCATCTCGTCCGGTCCGATTTGCGGCGCACCCTTTTGTCCTCCGGAATACACAGCTGCATCGTTTGCCACATGGTGTTGTTGGATTGCTTCCATTGTGTCGAGATGCCTTTCCGATCGGATCTGCATCATGAAAATGTTGCAGTTCCTTCCTTCTAGTTTCATATGGCAGAATTGTGACATTGGAGAGGGCTTTCAGAGTCTCAAGACAAGTAGCAATGCTTAGCATTAGGAAGTGCCAATTTTTTCTCCTCTCCAGAGACAGAAGTAAAATAATAGATGCTTTCTTGCAAGGGTCACATAGACATAAAGAAGAAAGCGATTGATTGGTTTTGTACAAAGTCCTATTTTGTCTTTGTTCACGGAAAGCAGTCTCTTGTTTTCTATGGGATCCATAGATGTGTTTACTCACCCATCGAGAGAGAATTTCATGATGAAATTCCCTACCCTTGGGTGTTGGCTGTCCCTTCCCATGTTCCCATCCTTTTTCGAAATAAAAGGAAATTCACCAGTCAAGTTTTCCATTGTCACATCTCTTATGAAATAGTTTTGACTTGGAGAAAATCCCACTGTTAGCATTGGCATACCCCATTTTGTTGGAAAATTTCCTGACATGTAATCTTGTTTTCCTATCTACAGTCCTCTTGTCCCTTTGTATTCTGTTATGGGTATTGAGATGATAATAGGTTGAATTTTTTTTTGTTTTAAGTGCCGTTTCCTGGTACCTTCAATGGGAGAATTTGGAATCTGATTTTCAGTGCTAACTGTATGGTAAAAGTCCTTGTCTCGTAATAGAATCAAGTTTTCCTTGCATCGTCTGCACATTTTTGTAGTTCAGTGGAAGTAAACTTATGAGGGCTAGTTGCTGACGATTTTGTTTGTCCATTTGTCATGTGGCATTTAATATTCCATCAATAGGCATCATCAGGCATAGGCTCAGACACAAATTTATTCACAAGAAACTTGAAGTGAATGATCCAGAAACTTTGTAAAAGTGCAGTGCATAACCAGGCTGGTGCACACCTCAGTTTTGAGTAATTATTTATTTATTTATTTTTTTGCTCTTGGAGACTGCTGTATGTCTGCACCAACCAGATGCGATGAACTAGAAATGGGGATAAGTACTAAGGCTCTGGTGATTTTGCCGGTGTAGTTACGCTTGTGTGGACATGCATTTCCGGCTCATTCGTGTTCTTAAAAATAAGCATAAATCTGCACAAAAATATTAAATTCGATGTTTCATATCCCGATGCCAGTTTTTCCTGTTCGAAGCATCAAAAACTTCCTGGCCAAGACCCGCCCACGAGAGTCAAAGTCGTTATTGCTGAAACGCAGATGAGAGAAAACGATGAAGTTACTGCCGAAATCGGCTGCAATCGGTGAGTGACGATCGCCCTCTTAACATGCAGCCGCGGTTGTCATGCTGGTCTCTTTTTGAACTTGGATGTTTCAAATTCATGTTCATTATTGAGGAATGTGGGCAATGTGAGGAATGGGCACGAAAAAATGTCTTAAACGATGATACCGCACTCTCCATGTAATTTAATGTTATTTTTTTTTAAGGCGCTTAAAAAGCGGAATGACTCAGCTATAAAATGGTGCTCAAACATCAACAGTTTTTGGAATTCCAGAGCTCGCACGATCAACATGTTTCGTTCCCAGTGCCACAATAAATTATGAATAAATTATTTAATAAAAAAAATAAGTCCTTTAATAAATTATTAAACACAATGAAAAAATATTTGCTGTTCATATGCGCTTGTGAATTTTGATGTTGAATCCGTTGAAGTTATTTGAAATGTGAGTACATTGAAGCCTGGTCGTTCCTCTTTCAAATGCCGCCAACTGCAGTTGGCCAAAAAAAAAAATGTTTGGCCAACTGCCGTGTGCATGAGTTTGCTGCGATGAAATTGCAATTAATTCTAATTAAGACGAAGCTCATGGAATTGGATTCAGAATAAGATTAACGATCTCAAGTTGCCATCTTCCAGTAATATTATGCTGATTGCTCGCGAAACTGTAATTAGATTACGTGATTGGATCGTTACCGTCACGAGCGTAACGTAAATGGAAAGAGGAACTCGGGAGTACTATCATGCAGCTCATCGGTCTTTTTCCCAATTTTTTATTCCTGTTCTCTTGGAAAAGGTGAGGGGCAACGTGCCCCCGGCACGTGATCGACCCTTTTCCCGGAAAATATTTTTCCCATCTGCGAGCGCTATCGACGTCTCTAAATTAAGACTCGCAGGCATTCCGAGGAGATGCTTTCCGGCTCATTGCGCCTGTCGGGGCGAGATCGCGCCTGTCGAGGTCTGGCGGTACTTGCAGGACTTTCTGGATGTTTGCACCCCCGTGGATTAATTTCAGTCGCTAATTAGTAGAGAAATAATTAATTTCTCCATTGGCCTGGAGAAATAGCCGGGATACGTAACGAGTTCTCCGTTTCCGTCGATGAAAGCGACCTCTGCGATCAGGATCAGGATTAGAGATTAGGACGGGAGATTGGACTAAACCTAATCTGCTTCACATCGGTCACAACGATTCCTCTCCCGAAGATTTCGGCGCAGTGAAAAATGAATTTTAAGTCCTTGCGCGCGCAAGCGACGGTATCTAAACGTAATAGGATCCTGAAGTTCATCCGAGCAAGCCGGTAAGTTCATCCGAGTAAGGCAGTAAGTTACCGCGCGCGATTCTTCCGTCGTATGCGGCGCCGGCGAGGCCCCATTAAGAGTATCGCGTTCAACTTTGGAGGCTTATTAATGAGAACGATTTAACAGCGCTCGAGCGAGTAACGGAGAAGGATAACAGGGGGGGGGGATCTCATCAGGCCTTTTAAAATCATCACGGGAATGAGCGAAGTGGAGCGTGGCAGGTTTTTTTTTCCAAAGTCAGAGCGAGAGGCC